TTCAAAAGTTTGGGGTCAGTACGATTTAACTTATTTATTTGTGTACAGAAAAAATAATACTTTTTTTCACCAAGGACACATTAGATGGATCAAAAAGATATTTGTAATGTTACATAAGATTTCGATTTCAGATAAATGCTGACTTGGAATGTTATATTCTGCAAGAATCCTGAAAAAAAAATGTAGTACTACTTTCCACAAAAATATACCTGAGCAGCAAATCATCATATTAGAATGATTTCTGAAGGATCATGTGACACTGAAGACTGGTGTAATGATGCTGAAAATTCAGCTTTGCATCACAGGAATAAATTATGTTTTAAAAAACATCCAAATAGAAATTAGTCATTTTAAATTGAAATAATTTTTCACAATATTTCTTATTTCAGTATTTCTTTATAATGTTTCTATTGTATTTTTGATCAAATAAATACAGCCTTGGTGAGCATAAAATACTATATTCAAAAACCAATCATACCAACCTCAAACTTTTGAGTGGTATATACAGTATATGCATACATGTATACGTATATGACCCGAAAGTCTTGATAATATATAAATATGCCAGTATGCCAGCTGTTTTATTTGTTTTATCTGGTTAAGGCAATCAGATTGACACGTTTACTCGACATATGACATATACATAATCAGAATCTGAGCCATTTCCGCTAATAATCAGAATGCAGTCCTCGTCTACTTGCTTAGCGTTACTGTTATTGAACATTCGACTCGTTATAGGTCGATCCATGTTTTCATCTAAAAATAAAACTCTAGACATATCAGTTTTCAGAAGAGCAAAAGGCTGACAGCATGCGGGTTGTTAAAAACAGTCTAGGCATAGCACGAATACTTCCATAATCTTGACGAGCTGCTCTTGACCTTTCCGAATAGTTCCCCTTGACTTCTTCAAACTGGTTTCAACATCCTGAGCAGCAATACCACTTCAGTGACTAATGCTGGTGGAAAAAAACAAACTCAAGTTCAGCTTGGACTTTTCGCAAAGGCCACACTCACCGTTACACCATTGGAATGGTTGCATGTAATCTGACTCCAAGCACTGCTGCTGCAAACTCACTGCTTGTCTGGAGCAGGCAATGCGGGGGCTGGAGGACACAAGCGAAAGCTTGATTCCGGGGTTGACTTATTCCCGACAATTTTCCTGACGTTCTTCCCGTGGGTCAGACGGGTCTAAAAAGCAGCTCTTCAGATGACAGGGTGTGCTGTCTTGATTATAGTTCAATTATTCCTCCATTCATCCCACTTTTATGATGTCAGCATCGAAGAACAAAAGATTTCAATCACTCTTTGGCTCCGCCGATGTGAATATGCACAAGGTGCTTTGTTACACAGACAAAGGGAGCATAATGTGCCCTTGATATTCTTCTTGTCCTTGAGATCCAGTCCGTATGTGGCCGGATGGCACTTCGGATGTGATCTTCTCTGTTGTCATACACAAAAGTTAACAAATTTCTTAATAATAAGTCCTGCGAATGGTGGTTTAGCGAGCACTAAACATCCATAACATACAAGCTGATACAAGACTCCATCTACAGCCTTTGGCTTCCCTCAAACCCTTATTGCAAAAGACTTTGGCATGTCTCTCTCTGTCGATTTTTCTAGCTCCTCTTCCTCGACGTCGCTCTCGATCAGTCTGTTTTTTTTTTTCAGGTATATTCCTTTATCGAACAGCAAGCCGTTTAGAGACCGAAGAGAACAGTATATTCACCACCATCAAGCCACTGGAGTGTTTATGTGTGCGCCTGTGTGGGGGAGTATATTTTCTCTCCACCTAAAACCATCTGTTCCCTCAATCTTTTCATCAAGAAAGTGGACAAAAACCCCAACAGTCCCTTAGCTCATTCAACAAATATCCGAGCCAAAACGCAAGCATCTGGGGGTTAAATAAGTGTTCTAGTCAAGCCAGCCAGTAATATTCTCCAGGAAGGCGCCTGCGTCTTTCCTGGCCGCACAGTTTCAGTTTGTAAACAGATCTGTGCTCATGTGATCCTGGTTTGCCTCGCAACTCTGTGCTCCAATCCCTCCTCCCTTCCTGAGCGATTCCCCTCCTCCAATCCTCTGCGCGACTGCAGTCACAGGATGGCCTCCGCTGCTTCTATATTTTAAAGGGGTCATATGATGCTGCTAAAAAGAACATTATTTTGTGTATTTGGTGTAATGAAATGTGTTTATGCGGACTACAGTGAGAATAAAAGTTATGCCTTCTTTCTTTGCGTGAACATTTTGGCGGCGTTATGCAAATCTTCCCACATAGTGATGTAGACATGTGGGGGCGTGTTAGAACGAGCTGTTTTAGGTAGGTGTGGCTGACTCTTAACTTTTATAAAGAATATCTCTTTGGATTTGAGACTTTAGTGTTTGCAACTTTACAGATCTTCTTTATGCACCAAGAGCTTGTAACACTCCAAAGAGAAAGGAAAAAGTGAAATCGCATCATATGACCCCTTTAAAGGAAGTAAGGCCGCATGCATGCACGCTGCTGCAGAAAACAGAAGCCGAAGGTGACAGACAAAACAAGCAAGTGAGAAAAAAGCAAGAGTAAAAAAAAAATAGGGCAGACTGAATTAGTGAACTCAGTGACACGTACATGCAGCAGATCTGATGCAGATCATGTTGCTGTCTGACCTACTAAAGCATTGGCATGATCAAAGCCTGTTTATGTTCAACCACAGAATATAATTGTAGCTTTTAAACAGAGATGGGGGGGGATACAACAGACTCAGGCGACCAACCCCCAACACTATAGTGCGGAATTCAGCTCTAGAGACAACAGCTGCTGCTTGCCTAACAACCATGTGCTCTCTCTGTGTCTCTGTTTGTCGCACTCAGCGATCTTGATGACTTATCAGTGGTGTACGAGTTCAGTTTTGTGTTAAGCAGATTGTTTGCTGGTTATCTAACAAATCACAGGATACATTTCATTCTGAGAATGCCATTCGCAGTCATACAGGTTTTTTTTTTTTCTAGAGTTGTTAACGAAAACGAAAACTATTAAAAATTGTTTTCAGTGATTGAAATGAAGATGAAATAAAGTAAAATATAAATATTGGATGAAAAACGTAAACTTAAATGAAAATTTAAAATGGTGCCTTGGCAAATAATTGAAATAAGCAATTAAGTTTAAAGGGTTAGTTCACCCCAAAATGAAAATTCTGTCATTAATTACTCACCCTCATGTTGTTCCAAACTTGTTAGACCTTTGTTCATCTTCGGAACACAAATTAAGATATTTTTGATGAAATCTGAGAGCTTTCTGACCCTCCCATAGACAGATTAAATTATGTTATTTTTGTTTTCTTTGCACACAAAAAGTATTCTCATAGCTTCGCAAAATTGAAGTTGAGCCATTGATATCACATGGACTGTTTTATCGATGTCCTTGCTATACGTTTCTGGACCTGGGAACATTGCAGTTGTGTTGCTGTCTATGCAGGGTCAGAAAGCTCTCAAGATTTAATCAAAAATATCTTAATTTGTGTTCTGAAGATTAACAAAGGTCTAACAAATATTTTTGATGAAATCTGAGAGCTTTCTGACCCTCCCATAGACAGATTAAATTATGTTATTTTTGTTTTCTTTGCACACAAAAAGTATTCTCATAGCTTCGCAAAATTGAAGTTGAGCCATTGATATCACATGGACTGTTTTATCGATGTCCTTGCTATACGTTTCTGGACCTGGGAACATTGCAGTTGTGTTGCTGTCTATGCAGGGTCAGAAAGCTCTCAAGATTTAATCAAAAATATCTTAATTTGTGTTCTGAAGATTAACAAAGGTCTAACAAGTTTGGAACAACATGAGGGTGAGTAATTAACGACAGAATTTTCATTTTTGGGTGAACTAAACCTTTAAGTTGAAACTAAAACTGAAATATGTATAAATAAAAGCTAAACAGAAATATTTTGTCACATAAAAATAGGACAAAAGCACATAACAAAATAACTGAAACTTTCAAATTAAACTGAAAACTGAAAATATAAAAAAATTGTAAAGATGAATCATTTTTTAAATAGTATATAAAACAACACAGCCTTATTCAGTGTACTTAATGTGATTATTAAAATGAACAATTATTTATTTATTTATTATTTATTTTTGTTAAACGAAGATCACATTTAAAGCTCTTGGAAAAAGTTCTCTTTATTTGTCCTAATTTTCAAATATACCGATTTTATTGTTTTACCCATAATAAAATATCCATACTATTTATAATGGATTTTTAGATGTTTTAAACAGTCATAATTTAAACTATGAATAAAATAATCACACACAATTTCAGTATTTATTGTGCGGAAAATTATTTATATTAATCCCCCCCTTACAAAAAAAAAAGTTCTCCAGTTTTTCCCTAACAAAGTTTGTGCACTTGATGTTGTCAGTAAAGATCATATCTGAAATATGAATAAAATAATCACACACAATTTCAGTATTTATTGTGCGGAAAATTATTTATATTAATCCCCCCCTTACAAAAAAAAAAGTTCTCCAGTTTGTCCCTAACAAAGTTTGTGCACTTGATTACCATGGTTACACTTGGTTAATGTTGTCAGTAAAGATCATATTTGAAATATGAATATGACAATATTTGAAACAGAATATGATTATTTCCAAAGTATGCGAAAAGTATGAAAATGCTATTTAATTCTGTGAAAAAAATAACCAGTGTGTCAAATGTGGTGAGATGTGCTGTATAGTGGCCTCTGGTGGCACAAAGCGAGACAGCATTTTATTTAAAATCTTGTGCTTTATTCATCATCTGCTCACATTAATTTACGATTTTTACTGACAGATATATTTTGCACTCTAAAAAGTTGAGCAAATAATATAAACATCAAACTAGAATTATGATTTATTGCTTTGGTTATATAATGTGATACATAATATATAACTGCAAAGACCTTAATGTATTTTGATGGTTAAGACAACATACATTAGAAAAGCAATATAGTAAGATTTCTAGTCAGATGTGACATATATATATCTCAAACCTTGCTATAATACACTGCCCATGCTTTCCTTTGAGTATTGCATAGAGAAGAGACACCACCATTCATCAATCCATTTAGGCTTGTGCTAGCATTGCTACATCTATTCGTAAAACCATTTTGTTCTGTGCTAAAGCTAGCATTCTCATATCCCTTGTCCAAATTGCTTTGGCCAATATCAAGGCCAGGATTCACATAACCGCATTTGAAGCCATTTTGGCCCTCATTGAGTTCAGTTTTATCACAGATATTTTGGTCTCGATTTTTATTAGCATTCATGCTACAATCGCCATTTTGTTCAGTGCTAGCATCTCCAGACTTTCTCAGACTCAGCGGAGGTTTGCATGTGTGCCAGTCCCACAGCACCTTATTCATGGTGTCCTGACGCCGAACGCCCATCAGTTTGTCTTCTTCTGTAACAGGTTTATCGTCCTCATCTTCGCTATCATCTCCACGTGAATGATCATGAAAGCTTTGAATCTCACCGCTAATACCCTCAAAGTATTGCTTGATGCAGGTCTTGGCAAAACTTTTGGCATGTTCTGTGCAAGTCTCATCAAACATCTTGCGCTCCGTGTCTACGTAGTGGGACCAGTATTTGGTTTTGAGAAAGGCGGCCTGAGTGAAGCAGGGACGAATGGCTCTGATCAGAAATGCAGCGATTGTGATGATCAACAAGAACAACCATCCAAAAGCCTGGAACATTTAGAATACAGACAAAAAAAAATGTATGTATTAGTAACATTATTATTTTCAGCCTCATTGTACAATGCCATTAAGAAGTCTAAATTTTTAAGTTAGTCTATGCCAATAGTTTTAGGCTTGTGCAGAGTGCTACATTTTCGCCAACATTTGCAGCAGTCATGGTTCTTTAAGGATTTTCTCAATTCCTTTTGTCAACAAATATATGTGTGTGTTAGTTTTGTTTTATGTTCATAAAATTTATTAATAGTTTTATTTATTTTAGTACATCAAGTTAAACTGTATTAAAATGAGAAATGTTGCCTTGGCAGCTAGCTTAAATAGGTTGAAGTTTTTCAATATTTTAAGTTACCGTTTATTTTATTTCAAGTAACAAAAATGTTTTATTTTTTTATTAAATGTACAGCTTTTTTACACTTGTGTAAAAATATTTTTACACTTTTAGAATTACACTTTTTAAACACTTTTTTCCACATTTCTGTAGACAAATTAATTATTTTTACTTCTAGAACCCAACTGTTGTGCTCCGAGTCTGAGTACTTTTTGAGTTTAGGCAGCATAGAAACTTGTACAATGTATTTTTTTATGTAATCCTACTACTGTTTTGAATTAAAGGGATAGTTCACCCAAAAAAATGAAAATTCTGTCATTAATTACTCAACCTCATGTCATTCCAAACCCTGTAAGACAGTGGTCTCAAACTCAATTCCTGGAGGGCCACAGCTCTGCACAGTTTAGTTCCAACCAACTCCAACTCACACCTGCTTGGAAGTTTCTAGTAATCCTGAAGAACTTGATTAGCTGGATCAGGTGTGTTTGATTAGGGTTGGAGCAAAACTGTGCAGAGCTGTGGCCCTCCAGGAATTGAGTTTGAGACGACTTTTGTAAGACCTTCGTTCAACTTCGAAACACAAATTAAGATATTTTTGATGAAATCAGAGAGCTTTCTGAATGAATACTTTTTGTGCACAAAGAACACAAAAATAATGACTTTATTCAATGATTTCTTCTCTTCCGTGCCATTGTCCACCGTTATTCAAGAGAGTACCACGATGCATGCGTGAAAGAGAAGAATTATTGAATAAAGTCATTATTTTTGTTTTCTTTGCACACAAAAAGTATTCTTGTACCTTCACAAAATTATTATAGTTCAACCACTGATGTCACATGGAGTATTTTAATGATGTCCTTACTACCGTTCTGGGCCTTGACCGTGGTAGTTCCCTTGCTGTCTATGGAGGGTCAGAACGCTCTCAGATTCCATAAAAATATCTTAATTTGTGTTCCGAAGATGAACGAAGGTCTTACTGGTTTGGAACGACATGAGGGTGAGTAATTAATGACAGCATTTTCATTCAGCATTTTGTAAACTATCCCTTTAATATCAAGCAGTGGCAAATACTACAGTAAGCAGATCATCTTACCTGTGAAATACAGCGTATGTATCTGGTGGCGGCCTCTCTCGATAGGATGTGCTGGCCATCATATATATGCTTGCATGGTATTTTGGCCAATGTTCGTAAGAGTTCCTCCTGAGACAGTCCATGTCCACTTACATTCTTGCCCAATTCAGACATGTCCAGGTCCATACTGTAGGCACACAGGAAGCTTTTACCATCCATTAGAGTCACTGAGATCCAAACGGCTGGTGCGATGAGTGACCGCTGGGATATGGACACACACATATACCGCATGACTGCAGGGTCCTTCCTCCGCTAAACTGATGATTGAAGGTGGAAGACAGCGCTATTCATTCACTCCTCCCACTGACAATTCCTGCCGGTACTGGGAATCGAACCCGCAACCTTCGGGTTACAAGTCAATTAGGCCATGACTGCGCAAGTAGTTATCATCTCCACTGAAGGGCTTGACTTGACAAAGGCCATGTTCATCAACTTGATTACTAAACCACGATGCATCCCAGAAAATATTATTAGTGGGATTTTGATTCACCTCACTGAATACATATCAGTTCACCAAAAAGGTTTGCTCAGTTGGCACTGATAGCCACATGGTTAGTGTGGTGACACATGGTCGCCGTGATTTTGCCAAGTAAGACATGCTCCTGGATCAACATCTTTTGTTGATCCTGGATCAACATAACTGTCCAAAAATATAGACTTAACCCAATCCCTACCCCTAAACCTAACCCTACCCATAATTTATTCCTAAAAAGTGAACTGATAACTGATTAACAAGGGTGTAGAAGCACCTAACCCTGATTGTAAGCCCAAAACAGATATTTCCTGAAAAGTTATCCATCAATTCTGATTGGTTGATAGGAATTTTGTTTCAGGATCAACAAGGATGTTGATCTAGGAACATGTTGTACTTGGTGAAATCATGGTCACCGGTGACACATAGCACAACTGTGCTCGTGGCGACCCAAGTTCAATTCCCATCCAGTCCCCTTCGCCGATCCCATCCCCTTCTCTCTCCAATCAAAAATGCTTTCCTGTCTAACCTCTACTGTCCTATTCAATAAAGGCATAAAAGCCCATAAATATAACTTTAAACATTTTTGCTCATATTCGTTTACCACTTCATATGGAAATATTTATGTTAGGTAACATCTTTATTCCTGAAGGTGGTGACCAGTGAGTCTGGAGTGTTATGAGTGAATCTTTAAATTATTTACTTAAAAGATTCATTCAAAAACACAGCATAACACCATTAACAGCACAAAATTAAACCCAATTTTTTTTTTTTTTTTTTTTAAACATGACAGCTAAAGGATTGCAATTATTTGAGTGGTCAAAGACTTGTGTCTTAACAAGGAAAGTGGACACGAGCTCCATTAAAGCAAATCAAATTTAACAGTTTTTAACTTCAAAGAGTCCACATGCTTCATTGCTGTGGCATCAACCTCAGCTGGCAGAGACTATTGAGGCTTCTGAACAACTTTGTTCTTACAAAAGAACAGAATTGTATTTTTAATAAAAAAAGGATAATATATCTTGGAGTATATTTGAGTATATTAGTTGATTCTAAAAGTTCTGGAATTAATAGTTTGAAATGCGCCACTAATGGGTTTATTTTGATTATTGAGTGATTTACATTTTTTCTTTTGGTCCATATACACAGCAATCAGACAAACTTGCATATAACATTGTATGTAGAGGTGTTACCGGTGTACTATTTTAAAAAAGAGGAAGGGTTGTATGACAGCACAGTGTTCAGGAAGTGTGCTGTCAAACTCAAACTCTGACAGAGTACATCCTGTGTGAGAAGCAAAAAACCGAACAGAGCTATAAAAACACATTTTCAGCCAACTTATCTTTTCGGCACTACACTGAGAGACTCCGTTTTTTTGTGATTAAAGTTGGGGTTCTGAAAGGTAAGTTGTTTAATCACATAAAAAATATCCATTAAGCAATAGTGGATGATGTAAATGAAATAATATTTCAGAATGATGGACACTAGTGCTACCGGAACTTTAAAGAAGTAGTATATTATTATTATTTCAAAAGCGATTCAATACTTCATTTTTTATTGCTAATGATGTTGTTTATTAATATTTTCAAAGAGAATATACAGCTTTGTGTGCAGGAAGTAACTTTTTTTCACTCATAGGATGGAGGACACATTACTAAAGGTGTTTGTCGTGGTCGTCAGTCTGCTCCTCTCAAAGGATCACAATGTCTTTCAAGACCAAGATGACAACATCATGGTGAGCATGCAAGACCATGAGCACTTTCTATTGGAGGAGGGGGCAAAGCTAGAACATGGGGAGCACAATGTTGCCATGGAGCTGCCACATTCAAATCAGGAAGAGTCACAAAGTCATCGCAGGGTGCCGAGAGGAGAGGGGGACACGTCAGATGTTCAACAAATTACGCCAAATGTCAAGACCACAGTGCTGCACGAGGAGCAAATGTCCCCAGTGGGAGAGCAAAATGACTTCCACCAAAAGGCATTTGCACCAGATGACCAGGAAATATTGGATATTGACACAGACAAACAGACATTGCATATGTCAAAGGAAGGCCTAACACATGAGCATGTCAACGTGGACCAGTCAGGGCCCACTGTGGAACAGAATGTCTCTCAGGGGGAGGCAGCACACCCGGAAAAGCCACAAGCTGGCTGGACTGACACCCATCACGAACATCAAGTTGATCAGGGATTATTCATTGACCAAAAAATACCAACTTCAAGTCAAAGGTTGACAACGATAACTCAAGGGAAACAATCTAGTGACCAAGAGGACACCTACAGTTGGTACCTTTGGAAGACACTCTCCTTGATTTCATTTTTTCGTATTTTAAAAAAATTCCTCAGAAAGGGTTCCAAGCTGCAAAATAAGATGCTGAGATGCCTGAACATGTCCCAAGTTTCAGATCTTGATTCCAAGACCTTAATTAGCTTCCATAACCAGTGTATCCTGGTTCCACCCAGTCACAGTTGGCAAACTTGTGAGTTTGTAGAGGGTTTTGTGAACGACCTGCTGGAAGCTGTGAGGACTACAGGTTCAGACATGGAGATTGAAAACTTTATTGGCGTAGGGAGCTTATACGAGCAATGGGCTACAAGAAAAAGCATTGTGTGCGACATACATGTACCCGTCATCCCTCCAAAGCCGTATAGCTTCGAGTTTGAGCTTTTGAAAGAAAGTAGAGGTTCTTCAACCATCCAGTACTGTTGCAGAGTCAAGATGGTCAAAGGCGGCGCCAGTTCAACCATCTGCCCTTGCAGCAATTCCAACCTAGATGATGACGATACGTTGTGTCTTCTACATCCAGATAAAAAAGAAGATCATGTGACTGAAAAGTACATTAATGACTTTCTATGCCAAGAAAATAGCTCATATCTTGCTAAAACACATGTTGTGAAGTGGTTTAAGACAGCCGTTAGGAAAGCATGGGATGAGATCAGCCACAAGTATGAATTTGACCTACTATTCCAGAATAGAGAAAACCCTGGAAGTCTCAAAGTTCGTTTCAGGTCAGGTCGGGTCATTCTGTTCAATCTCACACCTGTGGTCAGATTTAAAGACTCTGAGGTACATCTGATCCCGTATTCTTCCTCTGCCATATTCTCGGACACCCATTGGCCTGTATGTTTTACACGCTACGAAAACGCCCTTCTTCAACACATAACCAAAACGCTTCCAGACAATGCATGCCATATTCAATGCCTACAGATCCTTTCCTTCCTACACAAACACCAGACTGGCCTGACTGGACTATGTGGGCTAACAAACTACCACTTGAAGAACGCAGTGTTACATCTTCTGGTCAACAAAACCTTATCTTGGGACCCTGAGCAGATGGCTTGCAGACATAATGATCTGCTGACTTTCTTACAGCAGAAACTCAAAACTAAATCACTAAACCATGCTCTGGTTGGGAATCCTCTCATTCCTAGTGAGATTGGATTTCCAGAAGAGTTCAGAGTGGGAAAACCTGTTAACTTGTTTCTACCATTGTCAAATGAAGAGATGTACTTAAAAACAAATAGACACTTACTGGAGATGATTAGAAACATGCCAGTGCTGATATATGAATATGGATCAATGAGAAACATTCTATAAGAAAAAAAATAATAAAAAAAAAAATTTATGAGATGCTGTGCTGGAAATGCTTAAATGTACTTTTGCTCAGGTGTTCATTATTTCATAATGCATCTACTCTTTTGGTGACAAATGTAAAGAGACGAAAGAATTTGTGAATTCAGTTTATCATATTAACTTCACAAGGCATAACTACATAGTAGGCACTTTTAGTCCTTAAGACAACCGTCATCAGTAAAAGACATTCTCCTAGTAATCATCATCTGATTCCCAGAACAACTCAAAGTCATCATGGCCAGCTAAAGAAAATTCAGGCATGGACTCTTCTGATGAAAGAGGTGATGAGGTTTCTGGGCCCATCTTCAAATTCCAAGACTCACTGGTGATCATTGTCTTACCTGATGAAAACCGAAAAACTTGGTCAGCAAGGAAAAACATTTGGGTAGGCCCAAGTCAAACTTAATTTCATTTAGGAAGTTCATTCATTTGTACAAACCAGATGCAACTGGAGGAGCAGGACATGTAGATGCACAACAGTTGCAGACTGTGGAATCACCATATAGCTCAGTCCACCTACAGCACACAAATCTACAATTACTACTCTCAGACTTGGGTAGATGAATTTAAAACTTTAAAAAAAAAACTACAAACTGTTTAATAGAATATGCAAGGTGAATCTAATCATTAGAGCAGACATTTTGGGAGTACATTTGTGCTCTTTATGTGCTTGAAAACTCACTTTTTGGTTTTTGTGTTATACGTGCATGACTTGGCACTTGGTCTAGGAGTCTGTGGTCCAAAGTCCAACTCACAATGCATAAACATAGTCTACAAAGGGAAGAGAGGAGTTTTTAAAGAGGTCAAACAAACCAGTAATTCATTCAAATGTCTTATAAATATGTTTCATGTTTTACCTTTTTGGGCTGTGGCAAAGAAACCATGTTTCTAAACAGAAAAGCTGCAACACAAAGCCGTCTTGTTGACACTAGTGTGGAACTTCGTCAGAATGCTGTTCTTACTGTCCAGCAGGCATCTACACATATATGATATTAAAGTTGGAATGAAATGAAAACTGTGGTAATTTTTCACCATTGTGACAGTCAATTGAAACAGCTTATTGTATAATGAGAAAGGGGAAGAGGGAGGATTAATTTATCCATTGGTAATTGTTTGGATCATTGTCACTTGCTAATTTGGTGGTCGTGGGGGGGTTGTTTTTTAAATTAAAGACTACAAGTGGCAAATTAACTTTTGTAATCCAGTGAATGGATCACTTATTAAACACTGAAAGAAAATCCATTTTGATTTAATGTGGACTTTAATACAATGACCCAAGTAAATCCAAACTATGGTCAAACTTAAATTTGACCATAA